ACGGAAATCGTGCCAAAATTGTTGAATTATGCCCCCGGCCAAGCCGACCCATCGGGATAGCGCGCTAGTCGTATCGATTGAGGGATTTCAAGGGTGTGGGGTCGCCGGTTCGGGTCGGAAGTCGCCGTATTTAATTGTTCAACAAAACGCTTACTTGAAGGGAAGTATCACCTCAGAGTATTCGTTTTCAGATCATGATTTTGTTTTCGTCCTTGTTCAACCCGGGCTTCGGCCTCAAACCTTGCGCTCACCAGGGGCCTCATAACGCCGCTTGCCTTTCAACGGGGACAACAAACAACGCCGCCCAGGCCTTCCGGGGGACCCTCGGCGCGTCGCCCACGCCTAGCTAAGAAGCTAGTGGGAGCAATAAAAGGCCAGGGACATGCCAAGTGGACGGAAGTTTTCAACATCCCCCGACCTCCGAGTTCGCACATACTCTAATCACCCCGGCCTTGGTCTGTGCGGTGCCGCGCTTAGTCTACCGCAATGCTCCGTGCCAGCGCAGCCGCCGCCATCTTGTGCGCGAAGCCAGAGAATAGCGCCCTCCACGACCGCATGACCGAATGATGGACACCGGCGGCTGGAACACGCGCAAGGTAGCCTCTTCTCAAGCAGGCACTATGCTTTTGACCTATTCTCCAAAGAGTGAGCCGAATATGTAAATACGGATGGCGCCGTGTCCGAGCAAGCCTGGCAAAATCGTCCTGGGTAGCAACGTCACTCATTAGGGGATGCATGAGTAGCTGCTCGGCCGAAGATCGGTCCGTTGGACGCTTGACAAGCATATTGCTGATAAAGTGAGCAAGTGTTTCTGACCATGCACTTGGGTCGTGGAGTTTAGGTGGCTCATTTACAGTAATGAGAAAAAGGGCGCGCATCACGGGCTCGTGCATTAGTGGCGGTTCTCCATCAGTCATCTCAAGGGCGGTGATAGCAAGAGACCAGATGTCAACCTTGCAATCATAGGACTGGGACTGAATAAGCTCCGGTGCCATCCAAAAGGGGGTTCCCACAACTGAAGTCCGGTTGGTTGCCTCGCGAGTGAAAGATGCGGCAAACCCAAAGTCAGCTAATTTAACACGGCCATTGAAATCAATGAGGACGTTGTCTGACTTGATGTCTCGATGCACCCGATACTGGCGATGAATGAATGAAAGCGCTTGTAACACGCACTTGAGTACATAGCTGACGTGTGCTTCCTCACAAATGCGGATATCCCGCTTGCAGAGGCTCGTGAGCATGCCAGCTGTCATCAGCTCAAGCGCAATGACAACGTGCGTTGACGTGAGGAAGGCTTCTATGAAATTCACCACGTTTGGATGACTTGATAACGACTGCATGGCTATTTCTGTTTTGAGCTCTTCAAGTTCCTTTAGGTCGGAGTATTTCAGCGCAACTTTGCGACCCCTGTGCGGCCCCGGCCTTGCATCCACAGCCGAATAAACGACACCCGAAGCGCCTTGACCTAGCTGTACAAAGTCTCGAAAGCACGTGCGCGGATCTGATACAGAATTATTGAATTCAAACGCATTAAGCATCTTGAACTTCACTGTGTTACGGGACGGCAGCGGCGGTGGTTTTTGCGGCGCCCCCTCCATAGTCAGCTGCAGCGCATCTAGCGCAGCTTGTGGGTGAGCTTTGACATCATCTCGTGAAATTCCTGATGATTGCAGTGCACTATCCCAGATTGCTGGCAGTCCTGCTAATCCCGTCGCAGTGGACGAATCAGGGCGCACGTGAACATTGTGTGCGACATTGAATGGTGCGCCGATGATAGCCGGACAATCGATCGTGGATGCTAGCCGTGAGGATATCGAAAATGGCGAAAGGATTGACCTATTACCTATTGTACGATTCGTGGACATCGAGATTCGCACTGAAGTTAGTGCGGACGTCTTCGTACAGGAGCAGTTGGTCGAAGATGTCGAGCCAGCTTCCTGGTCGACGTACCTGTCGGCTCTCCCCTTGATACCTGCGATTGGAAACCCACGCGATCGGAAACCCACGCGATCGACGCCCACGCACGCCTTTAGGCAGAGCGGCCGCCCATTCCCTCGGTAAGCCGTTGAAGGTCCCAGCTTGCGCATCCCATTCCACGTGCAAGATTTTCCGAAACCCGGAGGGTAGCGACACGGAGGGCGGCATCGCGCGTAATCGGGAGTAAATAATCCTAAATGGATATTTACGGTTACGGTTAATATTAAGGAATGATATAAGATATAGAATGATATAGTTGGATTAGGAGCTGGGTGTTGCCTTCAACATGGGCTCCACCCAGCTCGGGGACTAGCCTAGTCTAGGACCCCCAGGAAAAGAATAGGGCCGGCTGGATAGGAGAAGATTCTCCTGGGGTGCGCTCAGGCGCACACTAATAGAAGA